TTCTGGACGTATCGATCGATACACCGTGCACGATGAGCGTTTCAGGTGTCCAAGTGTCTGCAGAGCAGGAGTCTCCAGGGTAGAGTTTGTCCTTGGCACGGGAAGCACCTTCTGCCTTGTCTGCACTGAGGATGATGCAGTGAAAGCAACGGTTAGCTGAAGGGGCATGCTTAATTTTTAAAGGGGGGAAAGAGGGCACAGCTATTTATTCCAGCATCTCTGACACCTTGCTTGCAATGTGTCCTACACCGGATTCACCCACACTTGTGGGCATCCCACTCCCTGCCCTTGACCCACCAGAGGGTATTAAAAGCCGTCTATGACCCACAGAATCACAGAATCACAGAATCACAGAATAGTAGGGGTTGGAAGGGACCCATAAATGCCCCTTCTCACACACCTTCCTTGAAAGCAGAGGCGCTTTTTTTCTGGTGTCACGGCAGACACTGAGAAGGTGAGAAGATGAATCGTGACAAGTCCCAAAGCGCTTTCCTCCCTGCAGAGAGTCTGGGCAGGCACAGACTGTGGTGCCTTCGTCAGGTGTCCAGGGTCACAAAAAAAACAGATTCTTACATGATTTTTCATAGGTTTCATGGTAGATATTTATAGACTTTCATACAGACATGATGGCTGGTAGACTTCAGGCAGAAATGACTGAATTATTTGAACAAGTCTCCTGCTGCAAGCAAGGTGTCTGGCGGAGCCAAGCAGACCTCCGAGGTTAGACCCTACCGGTCAGTACAGCAGGGGAGGGCTGGGCTCTTCACAGAATCACAGAATCTTAGGGGTTGGAAGGAACCTCTGTGGGTCACCCAGTCCAACCCTCCTGCCCAAGCAGGGTCACCCAGAGCAGGCTGCACAGGACCTTGTCCAGCCGGGTCTGGAATATCTCCAGAGAAGGAGACTCCACAGCCCCTCTGGGCAGCCTGTTCCAGTGCTCCGTCACCCTCAGAGGGAAGAAGTTCTTCCTCATGTTCAGAAGGAACTTCCTGTGCCTCAGTTTGTGCCCATTGCCCCTTGTCCTGTTGCTGGGCACCACTGAAAAGAGTTTGGCCCCATCCTCCTGACCCCCACCCTTCAGATATTTGTAGGCATTTATAAGGTCCCCTCTCAGCCTTCTCTTCTCCAGGCTGACCAAGCCCAGCTCCCTCAGCCTCTCCTCATAGGAGAGATGCTCCAGTCCCCTAATCATCTTTGTAGCCCTCCTGCTGGGGTTCCTGCTGGGGTACCCCTTCCCGGGAGCAGGGACCTGGAGGGGCCGATAAGGCGATGTGGGAGGGTGGGCACTCTTCTACCCCGTGCATCCACCCAGGCAGTGCTTGGCTGGATTTATCACTGTGCTCCAGCACGCCAGCACTAAATTTTCTTGAGAAAAGGCAGATGCAGGCAACTCTAATGAAGATTATTCATCCCTATTCAGCTGAAAAAAAAAATCTACAACTAAAGGAGGAAAGTGATATCATCAGGCTGTAAAAAACTCCCTCGGTATTTTCTTTCTTTTAAATAATTTTCCTCCCATTCTTCTTTTCAATAAAAGGCCAGGAAGACACTTAGCAGAAGGTGGTCCATGGAGGAAGGCAAGTCCAGGTGTCTGGAGAGGAGCCTGGTCAGCTCTGTAGCTCTGCTGCAGCCTGACCATCCAAACAGCCCACCTCTTAGCCTGATGCTAGCCATCCCACCCACCATAACAGCAAAACCCAGCGCCTCTGACCTAGCCCGATCCAAATCCCATGGAAAACAACGGAAAGACAGCGTATTGCCCCGGGTGCCTTAGCATCAGGCTCACAGCCCCTGTGCCTTCACCAAGGCTGTGTTTCTTGGGGTTTTAAGCAGAAAAGAAAACAGGAGAGACCACCCCCCCACACACACATCCCCTGTGCAGGGACATTGCTTCTGGGGAGGGTGCATCACCCCCAGTGTGCTCGGGGGTGTCCCAGGGGAGAAACTCACACAAAGTCCAAACACGTCCTCCTGCCAGAGAAGCCTGGGCACAGCCTGGATGAGCTTGGGGGAAAATGTGAAATTCTTCAGCCTTGCCAGGGCAGGTTCAGAAGGGAAAGGCCCTGGGGTCCCCTCAGGATGGACAGGGAGGTTGTGGAGTCTCCTTCTCTGGAGATATTCAAGACACGCCTGGACAAGGTCCTGTGCAGCCTGCTGTAGGTGACCCTGCTTCTGCAGTCATTTTGCTGATGGAGGCTGAGGCAAGGCAGAATCCAGCACCTGGGAGAGCCAAGGCGCATGGCTCGCAGCCCACTGAGTCCCATGCACACATAGAATCACAGAATCATAAAGGCTGGAAAAGACCACTAAGGTCATCAAGTCCAACCATCGCCCCAACACCACCATGCCTGCTAAACCATGTCCCCAAGTGCAATACCTACAAGTTTTTCGAACCCCTCCAGGGATGGGGACTCCACCACTGCCCTGGGCAGCCTATTCCAACGCCTGACCACTCTTTCAGGAAAGAAATTTTTCCTAACATCCATTCTGAACCTCCCCTGATGCAACTTGAGGCCACTTGTTAAATCGTGATCTACAGTTGCACAGCGGCTTGTGCAGCCCTTGCTCTGCAAAGGGGCCCATGCCTGGTAGGCAAAATGGAGAACCTCCTGCACAGTGGGGAATGGATAAAGCTCTTGAACTCAGGATAACCAGGGGCCCCTTCTCAGCGTGCCACACCCTGGTCATCCCCTTCTGCTCCCCCACCGGCGCGGACCCCCACCCCGGCCCCAGCCAATGACCCCGCAGCACGGGACGGGGAGGAGCTGCCAGCTGTGGATAAAAGCCTCCGTGGGGTCTGCAGCTCAGCTACGGGGTCTGTGTCCTCCCACAGCTCTGAGCAAAGCCTCCTGCCACCATGGTGCACTGGACAGCCGAGGAGAAGCAGCTCATCACCAGTGTCTGGAGCAAGGTCAACGTGGAGGAATGCGGTGCCGAGGCCCTGGCCAGGTAGGTCCATCTCCTGGGCATCTGCTCAGCTGCACCCTGGATGAAGAAAATGTGGCAATTGCATTTGGGAGAGTTGATGGTGTCTTTGCTTGTGTCCATCTCTCCCCAGGCTGCTGATTGTCTACCCCTGGACCCAGAGATTCTTCGCTTCATTCGGGAACCTCTCCAGCCCCACCGCCATCACCGGCAACCCCAGGGTCCGTGCCCATGGCAGGAAAGTGCTCACCTCTTTTGGGGAAGCCGTGAAGAACCTGGATAACATTAAATCGACCTACTCCAAGCTGTCTGAGCTTCACTGCGACAAGCTGCATGTGGACCCCGAGAATTTCAGGGTGAGCCGTGTTTGTAGTTCCAGCCCCTTCCCTACGTAGTGTGGGGAAAGTCAGGTTCTGCTTTGAAAGTGGGGATATTGCCTCCAACAACGCTGTCTAGGGGTATTTTCTTTGGCTGGTGGAGGCAGAGTCCTTGTGTAGTACCCAACTGAGATGATAGCTTGTCCAGTACTCTTAGCAAGAGTGTGGGTGACTTTCACAGTAAAAAGTCCCATTTTTGGTACCAGCACAGCAACGGGGAGGAGAAGGTGTTGGGAGATTGACACTGGGGATGGGGACAAAAGAAACAAACCCAGGAGGAGGAGCAGCATGGGCTGGAGGAGTCTGAGGTGGAGGGAAGGTAAGCAGAGCATTTGATGGAAGCACAGGTCCTATAGCAAGACAAGCAGCAAACCTGCTCAAAAACAAAAGAGCAGGTTTCTGCCATGTCCAGCACAAGCTGCCTGACTGGATGGGACACTCCTTGCTCCTCTCACGGTTTTAAATAAAAATGTATCCTTTTCTTCATTTATATCTAAAGAGAAAAATAAAAAAACGCCAGCATTTTGCAGGGTGGGTCTCAGGCCAAATTGCTTTAGCATCCCAAAAATAGGGGCAAACAGTTTCAAGGTTCTTTCTTGCATTCTCTCTCTCTTTATTTTTTGTCTTTTTTTTTAATTAACCTATGAAGCAATTATTGTTTTCCCAAAACCCAGAGCTTTTTCTGGAAAGACTGAGGATTTTGTTGTAACTGTCCCAGGGAACAGGGAGTGAGCCAGTAACCAGCCCTGCATCACTCAGATGGGACAGGGGGGCTGAGGAGGAAGAGGAGGGGGGGAGAGTCCTTTCAGGAAGGGATTTCAGCCTCAGGGAGAAGTCAGAAGAAAGGAAATTCAGCCTGTGGGTTGCAGGGTGGAGTCTGGGGCAGGATGGGAAGGAGACGGTGGCAGAACTGAAACCAGAGGGAAATCTGAAGCAGGAAAACTAGGGAGATGGAGAGCTTGCATAGAGGAAGAAGCTGTTTAGAGCTGAAGACATGGCAGGACAGGGTGGGGTTGGTGGAGTTGTGTGCAGTAAGTGCTCCTTGAGAGATTGTGGGTCCAACAGCTCAGTCCCAGCCCCAGGGATGTCAGGTCCCTGCTCCGTGGTCTGCTGCAGCCCAACGGTTCGAGCAGCACTAACCCTGTCTGTGTTCCTCTTTCTCCTCCAGCTCCTTGGAGACATCTTAATCATTGTCCTGGCTTCCCACTTTGCCAGGGATTTCACCCCTGCTTGCCAGTTTGCCTGGCAAAAGCTGGTCGGTGTCGTGGCTCACGCTCTGGCCCGCAAGTACCACTGAGCATCCCTGGACCAGCCGTGCGAGGAAGAGTCCCTGCCCCACCACAAGCACCTCGGAGCACAAGGAGATGCCCTTTGGGTGTTGGTGGGCTGTAACCACCAAATAAATGTCACCTAGCACCATGTCTGCAGAGTCTCCCTGTCTCTGTGCTGGGGTAGGAGGGGGGGCCAGGGGAGTTTGTGCTGGGGAAGGTGATGCCATCCACGCGTGGGTGTGCTTCTGGTTTCTAGGGGCTCTTCCAGACAGGTCTGCAGTGCTCTCTCATGTGCGCTCCCTGCCAGTGCATGCGTGGGGGTCTGTGAAGAGAAAACCCATGCAAAATGCCTGCAGCATGTCAGTAAATGGCCCTGACGCCCGGGATGTTGCAGAGAGGGTCACGGGAGTAATGAGGGGTTGCAAAGAATCCACATCTGTTCCCCCAGCTCTCGGTTAACGGGAAACAAGGTGAAGCCGGCATCATGCAGAGCACAGAGCTCCCAGCCAAGCCGCTGCTGCTCTCAGGGAGGTGGCATCTGCCTTGCCCTGCCCTAGGGATGGGGACGCAGGATCTCCTTTTAAAGCAGCTGATACAGCTGAGAAAGGAGAAAGCCTTTGATGTCTGACTCTTTAAGGTTCAGGAGATGTCACACAGAATCACAGAATCACAGAATGGTAGGGTTTGGAAGGGACCTCTGTGGGTCACCCAGCCCAACCCCCTGCCCAAGCAGGGTCACCCACAGCAGCTGCACAGCACCGCGTCCAGGCGGGGCTGGAATATCTCCAGAGAAGGAGACTCCACAGCCTCCCTGGGCAGCCTGGGCCAGGGCTCCGTCACCCTCAGAGGGAAGAAGTTCTTCCTCATCTTCAGCTGGAGCTTCCTCTGCTCCAGTTTGTGCCCATTGCCCCTTGTCCTGTCGCTGGGCACCACTGGAAAGAGTCTGGCCCCATCCTCCTGACACCCACCCGGTGTCTGCTGCTGCCCCCCCCCCCTGCAGATATTTAGAGGCATTTTGAAGGTCCCCTCTCAGCCTTCTCTTCTCCAGGCTGAACAAGCCCAGCTCCCTCAGCCTCTCCTCGTAGCAGAGATGCTCCAGTCCCCTCACCATCCTTGTAGCCCTCTGCTGGACTCTCTCCAGTAGCTCCAGTAGTCCTCTTCTTGTAGCTGTCCACTGGCCTAAGAGGAGATGCAGTTTGCCCAAAAGGAATTTATCATGCTGATGCACACAGCAGACCCTCATCCCCAGGCACTCGCAGTCCCAAAGTCCCCCTCTCTCCAGACTGAGGGCATTCAGCTCCCAACGTCGCCCTGCGAACAAAACCCACCACGCTAACCGCTATGTGGGCTTTGCAGTGCCTGGCCCTCCTTCTCCCATCCAGTGGCCCTTCATGGTGCAAGGAGCAAGGCTGTGCGTCAGGCTTGGTTATTCGATCATTGGGACAAGTGTGACAGGTAAAATTTTTGCTAGTTATTTTATTATACAAAACAGGGAAAAAACATAAAAATGGTCAGGACTGTGTTTACCTTACGTTTAAATCTTGTCTTAAACCAAGACTGGAAACTCCTTGAAAAAGTGGGCTGATGACCTGTGCTGTTTACAGCATCTGGCACAGCAGACTCCTGGCTATGGTAGAAGTTTCAGGAGTTACCAGGGAGGACAAGGCTATTTTGGGTCACAGTCTTTCAAAAGCATGCACTCATCTCACCTGGGTTCAGGAGGCTTCTCCTACGCACCAAATCTGCAGGTTTTTCTGCAGAGAATAGTGCAGCTCCTGGAAACACTGTGCAGCCAGCAGCACAGCCCACACACCGACCCTGCTTTGAGCAAAGCATCAGATTAGAGACCCCCAGAGTGCTCCTTCCACCTGAATTATCCTGTGATTCTGCACTCTGAGTTTTCAAGATGCTGTCTTCTCTCACTTATGGCTTATTTTGAAGGGGTCCAGAAAGAAACAGGTTGAAGGTGCTTTTATAAGTCTGTTTTGTTTGGATGCTGTAGAAGACAGGACTGAAGAGGGGTGGGAGGAGGATGTAGATGTTGCCCACCACAGTGTGGAAGATGAGGGTGCCTCTTTCCCAAATCTGTGCAGGATGGACTAGCCAAGTTATGGGATGAAGAAGACTGGGACCACACAAACTTCAGGCCCTCGTCCTTGGAGGCAATGCTGAGAGGTGTCACAAGGACCACAATGGAGCACAGCAAAATGAAGAGGAGGTCTGAACCCATGGTGAAGAAAATGAGCTCCAGGGCATAGAGCTGTTGAACACCATCTCTCTGGAGGGCAGTCAGGTCACTATGGGATGGAAGGAAATGGGATGGGACAAGGCTCTGCCTGGTCACTGGGCAGCCAGAGGAGATGGAGGACCGAGGTATGATCAGGGCTATGCTCCTCTGTGGGTGCGTCAGCCCTGTGTTTGGCTACCTTCATGCCTGTTGGCATGGTTGTACAGCTCCAGGGTGGGTGTAGAGCCATCAGCCTGTCAATGGGCATGGCAAAAAGCACTGCTGACTCCAGGAAGGTGAAGGAAGAGCTGAGACACATGTGGATACAGGCTGGTCTCCATGAGCAAGGACCACAGCACCCCTGGCATGGTGGAGAGACACAGCCCAGGGTCAGTGAGGGCCAGCACAGAGAGGACATGATGCAGGGCTGGTGGAGGCTTCGGTCTGCTTTTCAGGTATACAGAATAACACAATTTCCAATGCTTGTAGTGATACAAACAAATTCAGGTGGAAATCTGGGGTAAGAAGCTTCACATCCAGGGAATGTGGTTAGCAAAAAGGCTGTGACCATGAGGCTGGTCCAGTGGTCACCCCTGTGGGGTGCTCTTGGTGTCCTCTCACTTCTTAGGAATTGCAATCTGCACAGTCACGATTCGGCTCAGGTCTAGTTTAGAAATGATAGAAAAGCCCTGAATCCCAATGAATTGCATCACGCAGCCCTGAAATGATGGGGAGCTCACACTAGCAGGTTGATGGATTGTCCTCCTCTTCCACGGCAGCTTCTCTCAAGCTCAAGACAGCACTGCAAACCTCTGATGAATGAGCACACCATGTTGCTTCGGAAAGGAATTTCCACGACAACAGCACAGACTAATAACTGAATAGATTGCATGAGAGGAGGATTGCTTCTTGGGAAAATTGGTAGGAAAAGACATTAGAAAATAGTATTAAATTGCATGAATTAGAAACCAGTTGTGATCTGTGATTGCGATACGTGCTCTTCCTCAGCCATCGGGATACGTCGCCTCTCCTCCTGGAGTTTCCCTCCTGCAGACCCACCTTGAAAATGGAGCCACCAGGTTTGTAAAAGGTGGGATGGAAGATAAAACAGCTTATTTATCTCAGAACAGACACCGTGTGCAGTTTTTAAATATGTTAAGAAAATGGTATTCTTGTTTTCTTTACAATGAAACCCTCTTGTTAACTGCTGTGGCATATTGCCTGGAAATGAAACCTTCAAAACTCCTGCTTAGAAATATAATGAAATCATCAAACCCTAGAGCCTTTTAAGGAATTCTTATTCAAAGTTTAGTGTCAGTCTGAGGAGCAGGCTAATCAGAGGACTATCAGGTATGCTAATTTTTATCTGTCCAGATCCCCACACTTCTCGCAATAACATGAGCAAAAGGAAAACCCAAAACCCAAACCAGTTCACTTTTTAGCAAAAGCCAAAAAAACTCTTTAACTGACTCTGTGCTACCCGTACTGGGGTTACATATAGCGTAAGGTACGATTTTATGCCTCTAGAGGGAATTCTCTGTCAGGAGTGTCAGTGTAATACAGCATTTCAGAAGACAAGCGTTACAGCTGGTGGGACTGGAATATAATAACGAAATTCAGCCACCCATGTGATATGTTGGTTGTGTTTTCCCACAGTACCTGAAATGAGGATGAATGGTACTGCACTTTTCTGATTTTGCAAAAGATGCTTTATTGCTTTTGAGAAGTAAATAAAGGTACCGTTCTCTCCAAGAAACAGCATGGAAATACCCAAGCTGCCTAATGGCTCCGTGCTCCTGCAGCACCCATTTCTGGTAGTTTTTCACATGGCACTTTATCTTACAGAGGCATTTGGTCAGAAAATACAGGGGGATCCTTTTCATCTTGCCTAGCCCATAGCAGAGGGCTGTAATCTTGAAGGCCACAAGCTATCCCATGGGTGAGACTGGAGGGATGGGACCAGCTCTTCTGGCTGTTTTCCACCAGCCACGTTGTGCAAGGACTGGCTGGGAACAGGGCCACAACTTTTTTCCTGTGTCACTAGCAAAATCTGATGTCATAGCAACTGCTGCAAAAGTCTTGAGAAAAATCATGTGGATATTAAGAGATTTTTGATCCACCTGCTTTGGAGAAATGAAGGTTTGAAGCCCCAGAGTGACTTATCATAGCTGATCTGCCTCTTCATTCCTGTTTTCCACCCCCTCACCTCCTCCCATCTCTGTTTAGTGCCCTTCCAGCCCAAATTCTCTTCAATAAGAGAACCAAACACATGCTCACTTTCCATCCCAAACCAGAAGTGGCAAGGATAATGTTTCTGAGACAATGATGAGTTTCTCTTTCATATTGCAAAACTCATCTGGCCAGAAGTGCAGGAGTTCTCACTGTCACAAGGTTAATGCAGAAACCAAATTATTCTCTTTTTTCATTTTGTTGACAATTTTTTATCATATCTCTACCACAATCTTTCTTTCTCCCTGGTAGATGACCACAGCTGTGCAGACAGATCCCCATGCTCCACCCCACAGAAGTTAAGAAGTCCTGCAGTAGTTCCACACATATTCAGTAACAAATGCCATGGTAATTAACGTGGTTTAGATAAATCCACACTGTCAAACTCCAGCAGTTGACAGAGACTGGAGAAGCACCACCTCTGTCCATACAGCAGAGATGGGAGAATGACAGGGAGGACACGCTGGTCCCCAGAAAGTGGAGCGCATCTCACTACAGGGCATAGACCCTCCTGTTGCCTGAGAGACCACGAAGAGGAAAATCATCTCCTGGGGACTACCTAGCTTCACTGCAGGGTTGCAGAGTGATGATTAAACTTGTCCATAGCCTGCCACGATTTGGTGCTCAGCCACTTGTCCCTGTGGCTGTGGCAGCCTTTTGTCAGAGGGTGGCTGTGGTGGTCCTCCAGGTTGCATCTACAGGGACAGACCTGGAGCAGATCACTGACACATGCTCTCCAAAGCTTTCCCATTGCTTCTGCAGCAGCACTCAGAGCTGCACAGACCACCCCTGCTGTGAATGCTGGATAGGACCTGCTTGGATGGAGACTTTTTCAAATATGCTCATCCTGTCCTGCTCAGCACTCCTACCTCTTTCCTCATGTGCTGGCCACGTGCTGCCTGGTCATGTCTTAAACAATTAGGCAAACTGCTCTTGCTCCTGCTTTGCCCTCTCTCCATCCTACATCTTCTGCCAGGGAAGAA